CCCGCACTTTTGGCAGGCTGCAGCTGAGCCAGGAGAGGCTGGCGGGGGGGGCCCGGGAGCTGGTGTGGAGCAGCGGAGCCCGGCAGGTGGGCAGAAGGACACAACCTCCGGGCAGCTGCCCAGCTGTCGACCTGCCTGGGAGAGCCCGTGCACTGGGGGCATGCTTGGAGGTGCCCGAAGCGCAGCGATGCCTTCTCCGGAGGAAAGCCGGGGTTCCCCGGGAGTCCGCCGGTACAGCAGGCAGGGAGCCCAAGCCGGCTCGGGATGCTACACCAACCAGACTTTCGTCTTCGACGACGGCAACGTGCACAGGTCAGTGGAAAAGCAGGAGGCGCAGTTGGGTGGCCCAACTGGGTGGCCCCCAGAGGGGCTGGGCCCTCCGAACTCCCATTACCAACCCGGCTCAGAAGGAGGGGGAAATGCAGCTGTTCAGGCCTTACCTGCCCGGGGTAAGTGTGCTGTGTGGACACCACGCAGTCCTAAGGATTCTCCCAGTAGAAGTGAGCAGTTGTTAATAGAAGCAATTAATTCAAGAGCTGCAGGGTTTAATCCTGGGTAGAGATGAACCAGAAGAGTGTCAACTCTCCTAGATTGGAGGCGGCTTTATCTCTGGCTTACAGGCCACAGAAGCCAACTCTCCGAGTTGGTTAGCCTTCAAGAGTCATCCTAGGTGTCTGCAGGAGGGGTCAAAAAAGTCACAACGGTGGCTGCAGTCCTGTGAGTGCAGCCCTGCCCCTTTTTTACCTGTGTAATGTGCCTTGCGGCCACAGACTTGACTTCTTGACCTCCTCTCTGCGGAGACCTTTGAAACTCTTTCTGGCTTTTGCGGCAAGAGGCTGATGCGACCGCCTCTCTGGAAATCCTTGTTCAAACCCAGATCGCAGGGCTTTGATTGTAGCGTTCTCGCACCAGCTCTTTCTGCAGCCTTCTAGCTGTTAAAATCCCCACCCGAGAAAGCCCTCAATTACAGCTAGCCGTTGGGTAGTTTTGTGAAAGCTTTTGCTGTTCAGAGGCATCAGAACCCAGGTGCTGATTTTGGGGGGAGGCAGCGTGCCAAATTTCAGTGCCAAAACGTTTTCTGGAACTCTTGACGGGGCAGGTTTAAAAAGTGCTTTATGACCCCCTTGTTTGCAACGTACTGTCCAGTTACGTACTGTCCAGTTTCAGCCATTAGCAAAGACTTACTCCTTCCTCTGTTGATGTCTTGCCACTCACCTTGCTCCTTTCCACCTCCTAAAAGACCATGAAGAGTCCCACAGGGGTGAAACCTCTCCTCTTTTCTAACTTCCACTGAGTTCTCTTGATGCACTGAAAGTCCACATCAACCTTTCTGCTGATAACCCCCCTTTTTCCTCTTT